GTAACATTGGTTTTGCTTTGTTTCACAGAACTAATCGTTGCCTGGGTTGCGTACGTATGTGTGGGGCGGAGCTATCAAAATAGGGGCGAGACCCTTTTGGGGTAGGGGCGTATTTGTTTTGGTGATTTCAATTTTCTAAAGCATTTTTGAAAAATCGCTTACCCCACCTTTAACCATAGCTTCTACATTTTTGATGACAGTAGTAGCTACTTTAGTAACTATTTTGGTGGATACTAAAAGAAACGCATGACCTCAGGATCAAGGAAACTAAGGAAAAAGACTGAGAGCGGCAGCAGAAGTGTAGCTTCCTCTCTGCCTTCCCATAAAAGCCCCAGCGCCGCAGGGACACTAAACACACACAAGGGACACACACACTGACATCCACACACACACGAGGCCCCGGAGGCTGGAGCATGAATCAGCAATATTCTTTCCCACTTTCCACTATGTGTGTTTAACCCTGGCCAGGTTGGGTGAGCGCATGTATGCTGGCATATGTGTGTGTGCGTCAATGTGTGTGTCTCCTGCAGTCCTGCCTGGATTTTTTAATTAACTCTGACTCATTAGCGTAGGGGAGAGCTCAGTGTGACAGCTTGGCGCACTCCTCTGAGGGCCTGTCATGTTATAGAACAGGCTAGAGCTCTCATGGGACACTTGTGCATGCTTCCCTGTCCCACTTGACAAGAGCTGGCGTACGCTTACACACACACACACACACACACTGACAGCACTTTAAAGACGACAGAGAGAGAATGTAGAAGAGAAAAGAAAATACAGTACAAAGGGAGCAGAAAAGATGAAATACAACGGTCGGATGGTAATGGAGGGAAAGAATTGAGTCTTGGAGGTTTGTCAGTGGTGTAGTTTCATTTGAACATCAGGGCACGTCTCCAAGCACTCTGAAAAAAAAAAAAAAAAACTACAAACAAACAAAAAAAGTGACTATGACTTTGAGAAACAAAGTGGTTCTTAGCTGGTTTTGCTTCTACATTCAGATTTTAAATTGGACTTCAAATGGCAACCAGACACAGAATCAAAATTGTATCTTACAAAAGCAAACTCTGAATGCATTACCATAAAATGCATAAGCCTGAAAATACACTCCATTTATCTTTGTTCCAGTTAAGCTGTATTTAATGTAGTCCTTATGCTCACCAACGCTGCATTTAATCACATATACAGTAAAACAAAAACAAAACAAAACAAAAAAATAATAGTATAGTGAAATATTATTACAATTTAAAATAACTGTTTGTTCTATTTGAATATATTTTAAAATATATTTTTTGTGCTTAATATTTTTGTGTAAACCATACATTATTTGATGAACAGAAAGTTCAAAAGAACAGCATTTATTTGAAATAGAAATCTTTGATAATGTAAAACTTTTACCTGCCACATGTATTAATTTCTTTTCCAAAAACAACAAAAAAAGCAACTTTCATAACAAGTGATGAATTTGCAATAAAATACATTTCATAATAAATTTGATAAAACACGAGATAATCATGACTGAGGGGACAATCCACTTTCTCTCAATCTAACACTATGGATGTAAAACATGCATGCTGTGAAAATCACAGCACAAGTGAGAAGAAAGGATGAAGGAAAGCAAGAGAAAAGGAAGTCAGGATTCTGTAAACACTGTCTACTAGTGTCCTACACTAGCGTCTTATCTCTCCTTCTGCAGACACCCTTAAGCAAAACACACACACACACACACACACACACACACACACACACATATATATATATATATATACAGAATGAAAGAGCTG